TTTGCCCTTTGCAGTTTCTTGCTCTGTCACCTGACATCTATTAATCATAGTCTATTACAAAGGTTAAGTCTACTTTTATAATTTCTACAGTTAGTTCTGCTTTTATGATTTCTGTCTACCCTTCTCCTTTTTACCTCCCCGCCCCTTTTCTCCTTCCTCCAGGCCACACATACAATTCACCTGACCATACATACAATATGGTGACCTAGGGTTACCATATTTAAAAAATAAAAAAAGAGGACACACCACAGGCTCTGGCCCCGCCCCTTTCCCACTCCCGGCCCTGCCCCAACTCTGCCCATTCCCCGCCCTTTCCCCAAAGTCCCCGCCCTAACTCCCCCTCCTCCCTCCCGGCCACGCGAAAAGGGCTGCCCGGGCGCTACCGGCTTCACGGTTTGCCGGGCAGCCTCCAGACTCTGTGCCCCCAGACGGCGTTTCCCCAGCGCAGCTGGAGCCCGGGAGGGGAAGCACCCAGTCATTATATAAGCTGACTTGTTCACAGACAAAAACATGCTGAACTATACTAAACTACATTTTGGCAGGATCTGCCGGACAAGGTTCATTGCACAGCCTGCATCTTCCACTCACATTCAGTCATATACTCAGTCCGCCACTTAGCTCCTCGCCAATCTTCCGCAAACTTTCCCCTACAAGCATATTCTCAGTTAAAATACAAATGGCAGCTGGTCAGCTAACCAAATTCCTATAAATCTCATCGCATTAGCTGGGGATTTGTCAGCCTCTTGTTAATGGGATATTATACATTGCATTTTTGTTTGTTTTTTTCTAAATTGCTAATTCCTTTTTTATTTTAGATGTAAGGCCAAGGCAAATAGCCTTCTCTGTGGCAATATGTGCAATATATCATACACAGAACAACAATTACGATTAACACCATCTTCTGCTATCAAAAGGTAACTGGTCACCTGGCCCAGAAATAAAAGTTCTGAGGCCCAAATAGTCAAAAGTAGCCACTGATTCTTGGTGCCCCAGTTTTGGAATTGCTAACTTGAGAAGCCTTGGGTCTGATTCTCAGAGATGCTGAACCACCACATTTGCATCCATTGATTTCAACTGGAATGATGGGTCCTACTTTTACACGTGAGCTAGCAATGCTATTTTCATCGATAAAGTGGGCATCGTCAAAAACAATAAAATTTCACTTATGTTCTTGTTAAAAGGTATTAAATGCATCACATTTCATTAATTTTCATTTTTTTAAAATATCAAACAGGTTCAGGGGAATATTTACAACCCACACTCACTTACGATTTTTCATTCATTCCTGTAAATTGATTACCAGTTACCAGCAGTCTCCACTGTTGCTATAATCTCACCTATAGGGCAAACCTGTCACTCACTCATGCTCCAAAAGTAGGCTGGGTTGTTCAAACTTCATTTAAAAACCTGATGTGGGAGCTGCTTCATTTCTTCCAATTCATCGTCTTAAGTGTTTAAAGTCCTAAGCAACTTACTTGGAAAAGGGCGTTATAATAGTGCTCTGTGTGTTTATCCATGTAAAACATAATAGAAAAAATTCTAGAAGATGATATTTAAAAATTTTGTTACTGGGTTTTGCAGAATCAATAAAACTTCTTGATGTTGGGCACTGCAAATGGGTTCCACTGTGCAGCTCTTTACATCATCTCTTAGCAGAGGACAAGGAGGCTGCAGGCTTTGCTTGCCTTTACAGTTCAAAAATCCTGTAATTTACTTAACAAAGATTAGTAAAAAATAGGAGAACAGAGTAGATCAAAGCACACTAATAAACTGTAGTGCGCTTCAGTAGTGTCCACACGGACAGTCAGTTGGTAGCAGGGTGGTACAGGATAGATTTACACCCCAGTTTCCTGAAAACTAAATGCTTGTGTAAACAGGCCCACAGCTTCCAAACGGGATGGAATGTAAAAAGATATTTCAGACAAATCATAAACTAAATATAGTAAACAGACACACTGAAAATGAGGCTTGTTCTTGTTTGAGATCAGGATTTTATAGCCACTAAATTCTTCTTTCTATGGTTCATAAATTCTTGTTAGTCTAGAGTAGAAAATGTGGGCAATCCTGGCTATCATTCACAATAGGAGGTTTTGTAAAAGGAATACTTTAGTGCCATCTGCTGGACTGTACCCTACAACACAACTTTAAACAGGATATCAAATAGGTTTAATTTTTTATTATATTTTTTCATTTAATATAAAATGTTTTCTCTCTATCTTTTGTACAATCATTTTCATTTAATCAGTTTTAATCAGATACCTCATATTAAAACTTGTACATCTTTAATTTCCCTTTCTAAATTTTACAGGCATTGATATTATATGTATTTCCTGGAATAATGGAAAACAGTATATAGTAGGTGTGTTCTAGCAACACTCTGTCCCTATGAAGAATGGGCTTTAGTATTTTATAAGAAAATGATCACAGCCTATATGAAGATTAAGTTCATATCAACCATATTCCAAAATAAATCACACTGCATTCATGATTTTGCACTGTACAATGAAACAAAGCCAAGGCACATGTTGAATAGGGTGTGGGCAGCCTAATGACATCTCTTGAGCTAACGGTTTCATTCCAGAGACCCGACAGGGCAATGAAGGGGACTCATCAGGACAAAAAAAAGAAAAAAAGAAATCACCCTCCATGTCTTCCCCCAAAACTAAACAGAGAGCCTCCCTCACCTAAATCGCAGTGGGTCCTGCGTAACTGAAGATAATTTTTTAAGCCGGTTCAGACTTGTCCATTCCTCTGTATTCAACTGGAAATGGGAAAGATTCCAGTCTTTGATCCATAATAAGATCCCTGGCAGTGAATGAAGACTAGTCATGGCTAGGAATGTGAGCAATTCAGTTATAAGAACTTTCCTCCTCTCTTCAAGT